AAACTTAGGATGGGTTTGGAAAACAACTGATTCAAAGACAGTCAAGAACAATCACCAGGGAAGAAAAGTTTAAAAAGAGAATGGCTACTTTCAGCTTATGAATATTTCTGACCTTTACCCAGTGGTAATTCACAGCTCTAGGGCATTATTGATTGCTCAGTTGGTGTTCTTGCTGGGACACAGGAAAACATGTCACAAAGAATATTTGCTTTGATCCATAGATTTGGTACAGACCTCACTTGTGTATGATTTATTCTTTTTGCACTCTAGTGCTTAGGCTATGTGGGAATGTTGAAATTCATTCCCACGTTTCAGCTAAAATGCATTTTGAATATGAGGATTTTGTAGGAATCTGAAGGGTGGCTTTGATAGTTCCCTCATGTGAGGAAAAGTTCTAGCAGTTGGATGTAATACATCAAGTTTTAATAGATTGGGACGTTATGTCCCAACCTTTTGTCTGCCTTATAGCAGATGTAGGTTGTTTAGAAAGCCTTAACAGTCTGTGTGAGAACATGCAAGAAAGTCCGTAGGATGGCTTTGGGAAATGACTCTTGCCTGTGTTTTGGCAATAGCCTAAGTTGCTGGTGCTTTGAGGTTTGAAGACTTTTTAAATTCATTATTTACATAGACGTGAACTTGCTTATTTGAAAAACTGGTGGGACACAGTACTAAAGGGTTTTGTGTTGATTCATTGAGTTTTCTAATGAAATGAGAGGTGGAACAAAACCTCTTCAAGGGCAGATCTTTCCATTGACTAAATGTTTTTTTTTTTTATTTTGTCACTGGATATTTAGACAGTGATGGTAATGAACTGTGAGTATATAATTACAGTCACGATTTGCCTGTATATAAAATTATTTGGTTGTTTCATTCTACTTATTTCATTCCAGTTATTAGAAAAAAGAGATACATACTTTTATTTCTACAGTTTTTAGAGATTCTGAAGGCCCTGTGTGTTGACCTGTTCTTGTAATCTTTGGAATAGGCAAGGTAATAATGGAGTGAAAGAAAACACTAGGAAAATGATGTGAACATGTGGTTCTGTGGCTGAACAATGATCTTCAGTCTCTGAAGATGTCAGTCCTAAGCACTTTCAACTTACTTTTGCATGCAGTTAACTAAAAAAAAAAGCCTTATAAGCAAAGTTCCTTTATGGCTTTGATAATGTGGATCCAGAAAACATTTGCTAAATCTGATTATTATATTTCAAGTTAGTATTTGTTCATGACTGTGTAAGTCAGAAATGGACACCAAATATTAGTCACATTCAGTTCTGGAAATCTGCTGGTTGAGGTTTTTCAGTGATGGTTGTGCTGTGCATCTTCAGGAATGCCAAACCTAACAGGCCTGTTTTCCTCCAAGGGCAACTGTGCTGAGAACACTGCCAAGAAGTTCACTATTTCCAGAGAGGAGCAAGACACTTACGCCATAGGCTCTTACACCAGGAGCAAAACAGCCTGGGAGTCAGGAGTACTGAAAAATGAAATAGTTCCTGTCACTATTTCAAAAAAAGGTATTGTGGAAAGGTGTGATGAGATGAATTTTGTTTCTTATGGAAAGATGTAATGTTGTCTGTGTTCAGTGCAAATTGTATTGTTTAAACATGTGACTCTCAGGAACATTAACTTTGATCACCTAAGAATTTTCTGTTAGGAAGACTTTCTGATCAACAGCAGTCAGTGACCTGCCATCTGGTTTTTGGTTTTCAGTTTTTTTTTAATGTTGCACACCATTTTAAAAATATTTTTTTTGGTCTAAATGAAAGTTAGCTATTGAATTTAGTTATGGCTTAAGGACACCTATTTGTTTTAATTTACATTAAAGACAGGCACTTTGTCTTTTTTGTTCAGCCACTAGGAAGTATAAATGGATTTGCTTTAAATAAATTTTAATAAGGAATAACTTTTTTTTTCAGTTTATGTAAGCACATTTCTTGATGTGCATTTTACATGCATTTGCACTTTTTTACTGAAATAAGTTATTTATATAAGGCAGTATTTAGTCAACGGTTCTACAGAATACTAAACCAAATCTGAATTTCAGGGAAGCCAGATACAGAAGTGAAAGAAGATGAAGAATACAAACGTGTTGATTTCAGTAAAGTTCCAAAGCTGAAAGCTGTTTTCCAAAAAGAAAATGGTAAATATCGTTAACAGAACTGCTTAATTTTCTGCCAAGTGCAGGGATGCTTTGTCAGGGTGGAGAGTACTGTTCACAAGAGCACGAATGCCCAACAACAGCCCTTTTATTTTTAAATGTCTGCTGAGGTAAAGAAACATGCTGCACAACAGCATGAACTGACTTGAGTTAAAAGATGGTCCAAGAACCTTAAACCAGTGAACACCTCTGTTTGGGACATTTCCCTTAAAAAGAGGGTGGGTTTCAGTTACACTGTTGGCTCTGGTCTCTGCCAAGTGTAAACTCCTGTCGCTGTGCAGCTGGAGTGGCTTTACAGAGTTGCCACTGCTTCCTGAATCTGTAGTTGATAAACCTTCCTGGTTAACTCAAAACTGTCCCTTATTCACAACCCTTCCTGAGCTGGAATTCTGTGACAGTGCCAGCAATGCAGCTGCCATGGAAGGAAGGATCTAAACTGGGATAAGGATACAAGTACCTGTGGCTGCATTTGTTTCATCAGACAGTTTTTTTAGTTAACTCAATGCAACAGGTTTCACCAAATGAGTGGGATTTCATGTTCAATGAACTCAGGGAGGAACAATCCTTAACAGGATATGTGTGAGCTGTTTTGCATAACACTTCCGCCTCTGTCTAAGGAATGTTTTTCCTTTTCTAGGAACAGTTACAGCTGCTAATGCCAGTACTCTGAATGATGGAGCAGCTGCTTTGGTGCTGATGACTACAGAGGCAGCCAAGAGACTGAAAGTCAAACCTTTGGCACGGATAGTAGGTATGATCTTCCTTACCTCTAGGAGAGCCCTGGAAAATACTCCTATAGTGTGCTCTCAGACTGGGAGTCCTGTTTGGTTACCTGACATTATGGCTGCATCTTCCCAGTACAGTCCTTGAAATTTCAAGTGTTACACCAGCAGACCTTTGACCATAAACAGAATTTTCTGTATATAATAATAAAAATCAGAAAATATTATTGTGTGGCTTACCTAGGGCACTGCATTTTAGATGCAGCTATTTCATAGACCATGGTATTCAGAATTTCTCTATCTTGGCAGTGTTTGCTGCTTGCAAAGAAAGAAAACAATGTACGGTAAAAACACAAGGTCTTTAAACACCCTGGTTTTTTTCTTTTTTCAGCTTTTGCAGATGCTGCTGTTGATCCTATTGACTTTCCAATTGCACCTGCATATGCTGTTCCTAAGGTAAGAATAAAACTGAGTGGGTTTTGGAAAAAAACAAACTTCCCTAGCATTCCACTGTTGGTTCATCCCCTCTGAGTGGGTCTTCTTGAATTAGGATTGAAATTATAAAGATGTCATAACTACAAAGAACAGATGTTTTACAGAGGACCAAGGCTACACTGCAGATTTCCAGAGTTAACAAATTTCTCACTCCTATTTTGAAGCAGTCTATACTGCTTTTAGCAGCTTTGGACATGTTCACACCTTTAAAGTTCTGCAGCTTGTATGCCCAAAAGGCAAAATAAGTATGGTTATGCATGGGTAGACTTGTTCCAAAACAAATTGAAGTGTATGGTGTGAGGCAGTACTGTGTCATTTTAAATGGACTTACTGTAGCAGCGGTCTTAGTGTTGTGTGATGGAAATGCATCCTTGGCATGGGCTCTCTCCATTCCTTCTTTGGTGCAAACTGGAGTTTGTGGTTCAGTCCCTCAGATTTGCTTCTTCCCATCTGACAAAGAGGTTCCTAGATGTGAATTTGTGCATCAGAGTATGGGGGAGCCTGAGTCACTGACTTCAAAATAGACCTGTTATTTCTTTAATTAGTTTCCTAATTTTTTCATAGTAGTAATTATTTTGTGTTATTTCTAGATTCTAAGTGAGACAGGCCTGAAAAAAGAAGATATTGCAATGTGGGAAATTAACGAAGCATTCAGTGTTGTGGTGCTGGCCAATATTAAAATGCTGGGCATTGATCCACAAAAAGTAAATATTAATGGAGGAGCCGTCTCTCTTGGACATCCAATAGGGTGAGCAAAATAAGCTCTGGGTTTTCTCTGCACAGAGGCATTGGCTTCTAGGTAAACAAGTCTTAAGCAAATAAGAGTACGTTTGAATTCAATCCTTATTGTTGATTTGGTTGTGAGAGATCTGTTCCCTTCTTTGAAAGAGCTTTGCTGCTTGTAGAGGTACTCTGTAATATACAGGCTGACATAGAGGTGATTTCTTTTTCCCAAAGAAACTTTAGCTATACACAAACAAAAATGCCATGTTTAAGAACCTTTGTGTTTATTCCTCTCCAGCTCCAGTACTTAATTTGTACTGCACAGGACTGCAGACAAAAGGATTGTTTCAGATTTTTTGTTGGTACTAGATTCTGCCAACATCACTGTGTAGGTCAAATTAAGAATTTCCTTTAAACTAAGCTATGTTCTTTTGTTTTTCTTCTATCTAGAATGTCTGGAGCAAGAATTGTTGTTCACATGGCGCATGCTTTGAAACCAGGTCAGTATGGTCTTGCAGGAATCTGCAATGGAGGAGGAGGTGCTTCTGCAATACTGATACAGAAGCTGTAACCCAGGCAGCATCAGAAACACAGCCTTAAATGCTCTCTGATCAAAACTGAGTGGTAGCTGTTACATTTTATTTCTCAATCAGTGGATGAATTCTGTAACTGCTATTCTGAAATTTCCTAAAGCATCAATGATTACTGATCCAGCCTTTTATTGCTTTATCAGTGCAAGTTTTTATACCATACAAATAAGCAATGTCAAATTTTAATTTTGGCTTGAAATCTGACAATAAAGAATGTTAACTATGGCTCCCTCTGTCACTGACATATCATTTCTTAAAGGCCCTTGAAAAAGAATTCGCTTGGTAACTCACATAGTGCTGCTACTGGAAATGGTTGTTTTCTCCTAAAAATTATTTGCAGTATGACAGCAGCTTGGTACTGAAGATACTTTTTTTCCTATGAAAGTGAGTGGATAATTCACATAGTTAGAACCAGAGTGCCTGAAATGGTGGGTAGTGGATGGCCCAGGCAAGAGTTACCTTCGGTCTCAAACAACAAATTGATTTTAAGTGTCACCATCACTATCAAGCATTTTATGCTTAGCACAATTTTTTGTGCTTGCCTGCCCTAGTCCCTCTGACAATTAGTGTTAGAACTCAGTCTTTAATATTGGACTCTTTGTCTTCAAAAACCACTGACCAACAGGACTTTTCTATTCAGTATCTGCAAAGCTCCTTAGTGAACTTAAAAACATTAAGCAAGACACACAACTTTTTATTAAAACAAAAATATTTATTCAAGCTGTAAATGCTATGCAGTATTTAGTTACTGGATGGGTTTAATATAAACATCTACTGCATAATCTTGGTTCCTTAGGAATCCTTGTATTGTATCTGAAACATTGCCCTGTTGCTGTACAGATCTCTTACAAGAAAACTTGCAAACTTTTTTTTTTTTTTAAGATGTCAACAATTTGAGAACAAGAAGAAATACCAGTAAAGAAAATTCTGTAGTTTTGGAGCAAGGTGTGCTCATTCAGCAAAATGTAGGCTGAGCTCCTCCTGCACCCCTTTTGGAGAGAGTTTATATAATAGCTATGACAACCTCTATGTTAAACAGAAAAATCAGATGCAAATTTTACCATGTCTGGCTAAAAATTTAAGAGTTAGATAGTGTAACTTCTCAGCAGTACAAATGAAAGGTGAGGGAATTGGCTTTTGCATTAGCACACACTGTCATTCTTGTTTAGCTGTTGCTTCAGTTAAGTGTTCATACTGAGTCACGACACCACATAAAAATATGTTGCTTAAAAACAGCTTTTGCATTTGAATGACATTCAGCAGCAAATACTGTAAAGAGAGAAGGCCTGTCCAAATTAAAGTTCCTGTTGGAATGACTGGCTGGGAAAAGCTCCACCAGATGAGAAATGCTTTTTGAAGTTTTACTGGCCTTATGTTCAGCTATTGGTATTTTTGTTATTTCGTTCAAAGCCTTACAACATGGGCTTGACAGTTAAGAAACAAGAAATTGTGTGAGCACAAGCCAGTTAGAGCTGAATATTTAAGTCCCTTTCAGAGTAAACAAAACAATGAGAAGTGGCCAAGGTAGCTGCCTCATCTTAGAGTGGTGAGTGACAAACACCACCTTTTCACAGACTGGCTGAGCGCTTCAAAGGGGTAAGTAGAGAAAGCAGCAGAACACAGACAACGTGGTCTAACAGGAAATGTACAATCTTTCTTACATTTCATTTACACAAATTTACAGTTTTGCAATTTAAATGGCTCTGTAATTATGCAAGTGCTTTTTCAAAAATAAACATATACCAACTCAATGATATTTACACTTTGCAACCTGCTTCAGAATCAGCACGACTTTGCTATAAAGTGAAACTTCAGTGCACTGAAAGTGCAACCTGCCCTTTAGAGTTAACTTCTCTTCCCATGCAAAACCTCAGCAGTGCTCCACTGAGCTTCAGATGGCCTCACTTCAACTTCTTTCTGTTCATTCATCGTAATGCAAAGACAACAAGAACTTGTCCACATCCATTCCTGCTGGAAAAGAATTTGGGAGCTTCTTTTTCTGTAGGAGAGGAAAATAACAACTGCGTTAAATACAAAGAACCTGGGGGAACTGAAGAGTCTGCAAGCATTCTTTTCTTCCTCATCCTTCCATTCACCTTTTCTCTGTTCCTGCACAAATCTGCCCCAGAACTCAGACACTGCCATGTGCCCTGCTCCATGGAATTGAGCATTTTCCAGTCTCAGTGTTTCCGGAGCATGCTAAAACTAACTATGGGAATGACAAAGTTATACTCCTTTTTGGTTATTTACATCCAAAGACACCTTTTTGTGTCTTACACCTTGGCTACTTGCCTTTAAATCCTCAAGTCAAAGGCGCAGTGCTGCAGTGCTGCATGCTACAGAGACTGGGAGTTTCACTAACGGTACTAAACAAGGATGCAAGAGCAGCCTGAATTCTAGTAAGGCCTTGTTGATGATTCCTCTCCGTGTGTGGAGACATCCCAGCAAAGGATTTTCCATAATATCATGGCTACAAGGCCTGCTTTGAGTTTGGCTTAATTCTTACATTCCACCCAAAAACTTGGAATTTAGGAACTCATTCAGTTGTAGGAGAAATAATGTAATTGTCATTGGTGCCTATTTAGAGTGAGTAGGAGTTACTCATATGTATCTGAAGACTAAAACAATCTTAAGAAAGCTTAGCTCAGAGTACACTCAAGAGGCGAAGTTGGAAAACTGGCTAATCTAAATAGGGTATCAGGAATTTTGCACTAGCATCTCTGAAGCATTCCATTACAGACAGTATACACGGAGATACCTAATACATATTTCGAAAATTCATTAGAAAAAGTAAATGTTTGTACTTGCCTTGATTTTCTTTTTTTTGGATGGTGTTGGAGAGCTCTGAAGCTCTTTTCTGTTTGCAGAACGGGAATTTCTCTCCCCCTCATTTAAGTCCTCCAACTTCCTTTTCTTCACGGTGCTCCTCAAAGCCCTGAACTGCTGGGTGTTGTCCTTGAGGGGGGTTGCAGTGCTAGTCCTTGCGATGGCCGCCCGCGACAGGATCATGAGGGTGTGTGCGGCCATGCTGACGCTGTTCTCGCTGCCCGTCTCGCTGGCGGGGCTGCAGGCGGGCAGGTCGGGCGTGGCGGGGGGCACCATGATGCGGGGCGTGGTGCTGTCCTCGGAGAAGCGCCGGCAGGTCGGCGTGCGGACGCTGTCCGTGGTGTCATCCGCGTGCCTGTCCCCAACGCCAGACGGCGTCCGGGGCACCGGCAGCTCTCCGTTCTCCACGGTCTTCCCGGCGGGGCTTTGCCACTGAATGTCCTGCAGCATCTCCACACACTGTTTTCCAAACGGGCTGGACAGGCCGAGGCCTTGGCCGGAAGCTTTAGCAGGTTCTCGCTTCGGCTCCTTCGAGGACAAAGACACAGACACCGATGATTTGCCGCTGCCAGCCCCATTTGACAGCGACCCCTGCTTTTTGTTCAGCTCTTGTACCGAAGCAACTGTCTTCTCATTCCATAAGGCAACGCTCTGTTGGCCGTTTGAGAGTTTGGCGGTGTCCTGGTTCTTCTGCTTTTCATCAGTATCCCTCCGTAGCTCATTTTCCTTGTTTGCTGTTGTCTTGTGGAAGGGATCTAATGACAGCCCTGCGGTTGCCACCTTCCGCTCGGGCTGTGCCTCCTTTGCAGATGTGCCTCTGTTGCTACTGACTTCTGGCCTACACAGAATTCTGGGCAATGTTTTGTCTTTGTCTCTCTTTGGTACCTGTGCCTTAGCAGAGGAGGATGCAGAGTCAACAGCAAATAAAGGGCTTTCGTTTCTTTCTTTCTGGGATGAACTCTTAGGAGCCTGAATTTGGGTGCTTCCTCCTGGAGCGGGCAGGACATTATCAAAGCAAAGCACTCTCCTGTGACTCTCACTCTGTCTTGAATTTGAGCTTGTGCTCTCTGCTGGTGCAACAGGTAAATTCTCTTCCACTTTCTTTCCTGGTTCTGCACTGGTAAGCTTGTCATAATTTCCAGCCCTGAAAACAAGATGAAAACATTTAATGTTTATTCTTACTAGGTAAGTTAATTTCACCTGGCTGGAAGTCCCCACCCATCCCTCTAAAAAGCTCTCTCCATCCTAAATACAAGTATTTTATCAATACACAAAGACCAAGAGTAAGGAATGACAACTGCAGAAAGCTCAGAGAAGGCTTTCTTAGCAAAAAGGTAAGAAACAGTCTGTACACTGAACAATTAGGTAGGCTGGGGCTCTTCAGCCTGGGAAGAGACATCACTGAGGGGAAATGCAACAGAGCTCTGAAGAAAGCTCACAAAAAGGACACTATCTGCTGCACCTTCCAGTAAAAAAACTAAGGGCATGAAATAACACTGCTGTTAGGTTCAAAACACAACACAGGGAGGTCTGGACAGTATACATAACTAAACCTGGGAACTTCTTTACCTTGGGATATTTGTGGATGCTGGTAGCTTACTTGACTTCAAAAAGAAACTGAGTGCATTCATGACAGGACAGTCCATCCCAGAATACTACTTACGGCTCTGGAATCTTGGAGCTGAAATTCCTAAGAGACTGCCAGAATATACTGGACAATGTAATCACATGTGTGCCTTGTACTCTTGCTATGCACTTGCTGTGCATGGTGGGACACTGAGCAAGAGAACAGTGGGCATCTGGACAAGAGCATCCAAACTCCCTGGGGCATGGTCTCCACCTGACAACCAGCCCCATCCTGTGAAAAAGTCACCAGTGCACTGTGGAAAGAAAAATGCTCCTGCTGTGTCAGCTCATACCACTGTTCTGTCTGTGCCCTCTTCCTGGCTTATGCTGCATTTCCAAGAGAACCTTTGGCATCACTCATCTATGCCTGTATGGCTCTCTCCCTGCACATAAGCCTCTATGATTTCTAAGAGGAAAAGTCAAGGTTTTGGGATGCCAACTTTGGCACCTTTGAAATGGCAGAAAAGGTCTGAGTGGTAGCAGTTTGTTTTACTTCCATGAAATTTGAGATGAGACCGAGGGTAGAAAGGGTAAGAAAGAAATTACACATCTTTGCAGGGAAGATTTTGCTGTCTTTGCTACGCAAAACATACATCTAGAGATCAATTAAAGATAACAGAAAGCTGACTTACCGAAGTGGTATGATCCAAGATCTTGCTTCTGTGTTTTTTAAAAAAATCAGTACTTTTTGTGTGCATGTATATGGTATAACTTGATGTATGGTTGGGATTTTTTAATAGGTTGACTTTAATGGTCCTGTTTTGTCTCCACTTTTCCAACATTTTAAGTGAGCTCTAAATGGGTAGTTTTTTTTTAAAGTATGTGCTAGTTTTCCAATTAAAAAAACCCTAGCACATACTTTAAAAACTAAGCACATACTTTTAAAAGTATTTCACCTCTTATATTTAAACTGAACTTCTGATCTCCTCCTACACTCTTTTGCTCATTCCAACATCCTTTTCTTTCAGAAGTCCATTAATGGAGAGGAGAGTTACTACTGCAGTCTTGCTTCTTTCTCTCATTTGCCCAACAGAAAAGTAGTACCTACCCCAAGAAATTTAGTTATGCTCGTCAACAAAGTTAGCATGCTCTTGTCCTCACCATCTCTGCACTCAGTTCTCACTATTTAAATGACCAAGCAGAGTTCTAATCTACACAGCTGGAACACAGATGCAGAACCCAATCTAATAAACTCTGCTGGATCTGGGTCAGAAAATGGTAAAGGGAGTGAGACTACACTACAAAACCATGGGTGCCACTCATGTGAAAAGAAAAAAACAAAGGTTTTAGTCGTTTAAACCTCACAGTAAATGTAACAGGCAATTCTCCTAGCTTAGACTCCACTCAAACAATTGAGACAGGAGACAATGAAGACAAAGCCATACAAAATTAACACAATAACAGTGACAAGACAATTCTAGCACAGGCTGCAGCAGTCCCAGCACACATCTGTATCAATACTCCTAGCAGACAGGCAGCAGGAAAGGGGGTACTGCTTCTGCTGCTACTAAAAAAAGCTCCTCTCTTCACCAGTACTGGATGAAGAAATTCACAACAGGAAAAAGAAAGCCAGTTTCAATACTTAGCACTACTGACCTCTGTGTCCATGGATTTGCATGGTTCAAAGGCTCAGCTACATTTGGTACCAATTTTCCTGGAACAATAGATGAAATATTAATGAATAACAGGTAAATAATTTCACAGTTTCAGTACAGTGACATTTCACCTGACAGAGAACCAATAAAGCAAAACCCAGCAACAAACTCTGCAGTATTTCATAACTTTAAACTTTACTAATTAGTAGACTAGTAAAGGTTCCCAACTAAGAACAAAGGAGAAGCTTGCTGTCTACACTTAGATAATACACAGCCCTGGCAAGACAAAACAAACTATCCTGAACTTAAAAATGCACAGTGGGGATTTCCAGATAGAAGGAACTTTCAGCTATCCATCAGCAAACCAGAATGCAAGCTACTATACAATCCGAGCTTTTATCTTAATTTGAAATTTCATTTTATTTTCATTTTTATGTGCAAACCTAGTCTTTTTTAAAAAGGCAGATAGGCTAAAGCACAAGTTGTCCTTATAATTCAATGTTTCTATTTTCAATTATTTTTCTTTACCCTTTTCCAACACTGAGATAGGAACATAACTCCAGTCTTGTCACAATTAACAATTTAAAGCAAGGTCTCAATGAAAAGAATATACAGAAGCATATGCCTGAAAGGGCAAAAGGAAAACAGACAGCAGAGTGCATTTTTTATATAAACATGCAACACTTCTAATAAATATTCTTCCTTAATAAATTTTTAGAACTTCTGACTCTTCTAATATCTTCATTACTATGTGGCTTGATTCCAATGGCAGGTGTAAACTACTTAAAACCAACAAGATGAAAAATAACCAGAAACATAAAGAAAAGTAAACTTTTAAAACTGCATGAGAGCCTTGAAACATTACATTTTGGTAATAAGCTTGATGCAAAAACTGGAATTATGTTATACGCTGGAAGTTGTTTGTAAAGTGACCTAACAGGAGTCACTAACTGCAGGTACAGACCACTCTCGAGACAGCCCAGCAGCTGCCAGGAATAGAAGCAGAGATATTTATAAAACTTTTTTTACTTGGAACTGACTTAGAACCCTCTGCTTTTCTTCTGCACCTCTCAAGAACGCAAGGCAGGCACCTGTAGTATTCCTGTTTCTTGCTCCAGGAATCTTCTGTGATTTAGGAGGGATGGGAAGCTTTGGGACACTTCCGTTGCACATTGGATTAGCCACAGGCATGTGAAGAACCTTGAAAAAATCAAAATATTCTATTACATTTTACCAAAGTACTTCTTATCACTGCAGCTTTAATCCTGAAAATCTTTATTTGTGATGTGCTACCTGGCAGGCAGGTGCTGAGAACGTATTTCCATTCTGTCCTACTACGGAGAGAGGTATCATTCCCACCATTCCTTGCAAAACTGGCTGCACTGGAGATGCAATTATAATGGCAGAACCTAAAAAATACCAAAGTGTTTAGATTGTACAGAAACTAAAAATACTTCAGTTAAAAGAAAAGCTTCTTAAAATTATGTATGGCAAGAAAACCTGTGGCAAGAAAAGCTCCAGATTTTTAGAAAAACTTCTGTCCTTTGCTATAGTTCACTACTAGAAAAAAGGGTAAGCACCAGTTTTGTTTTTAGTTTATAAGGAATTCCTTAGTTAAAGTCTGTTTTCCTTTTTAAGAGGTAGCTCCAAATAAAGCATGATAAATCTCAACATTTAAACTTTAATTTAAAGTGATTTATAAAAACCAGTAAATGTAACATTAAGTATCTTATTTAACTGCCAGATATATGGGAACTAGAAAATATGGAAACTATCCTAGCACATTAATTGAAAAGTGGAAGAATATTTTCAAAAGTGAAAGGAAACTGTTCCTCTCTCTATGACAGAAGTATTGAAGGTCAGAGTCGCATAAAGAAATACTAATGGCAGAAAAGGCTGTCACCCTAAGACCTTGCATGTACTGGTCTCTGACCTCAATGAAATGACTACACACAGAAATTCAAAGGTAACTGCAAAAAAGTTCATAGTTTTTGAAAAAAATCTAAATGTGGTGAAAGAAATCTAAATGTGGTGATTACAGCTGGTTTATAGCTGTTTTTTTCACTTCAAAAAGCACTAAAAATTTTTATTGCTGTAATAATAAAAATGCTTGTACGGATTATAAATCATGGAAAGAAACAATGTTATACTTTCATATTTACTTAAATGTACTTCTAATGCAGACTAGGTTTTGATATATGAAACAAAACCGAGGAAGTGATTTGGGAAGGACTAGATACATCTGCCCAGTTATCTACATGAAATATGGATGAAATATGGATATCTATAACACAAAGCATTCCATTTATAACAGGAATCTTATTAAAATAAAAACCTGTTTTATTTAGCCAAAGTAATAGAATCCTTTCCAGTGTAAATCAAAATATGCTTCCTACATCTAATGCTGCTAAAATTATATCAGTTAAGCTTCTGAAATACGAGGCTTTTTTTATTCAAAGCAGCCTGATCAATGACTGCTTGCAGTTTTATTTCATTTCTGCTAGCAACTAATATACTAAAAAAAAAGAAACTGTTGGATAGTTTCAAGTGGCAGACAATGCAGTTTAAAAATTGTTTACTTTTAATGCACTTAGGGGACAAACAAAAATAAGAAGACCACCATATAAACACCACATTTACAGTAATTTCCTAATAATGAGATTACCCTGTGGGAAGTTTGGGGAGACAGTCTGGTTTGCTGGAAATGTATTGCTGGATCTGGGAGGAGTCCGCAACTGTTGTACAGCTGGAGCTTGGGAGGCCAGTGGCATAGAACTGCCAGGCAATACAACTACATTTGATGGTGTTACAGCTGCACCCAAGGTTGTTGGATCAGTCATACACGTGGCTATGTAAAGGTTGCTTGAGTTCCCAAAAGCTGTGCTTGTGGCTGGCATCAACTGTATAAATCCCCCTTCATTGGAAAGATGAGTTGAACTTGCAACTGAAAAACCAGCGCACTCTTCATTCGCAGTGTTAACCGAGGTGACCACAGGATCCTTAGGTCTAAGCACAAGAAGATTCTGCTCTGCCAGAGCTGAATCCACATTTTTTTCTGTGTCTTCTGAAGTCAGACATTTGGGCAGGCCTGCAGTTTTGGTTGGGGATTTGGCTGGAGATGACAATATTATAGTAGGCAAATTTTCTCCTGTGATGCTGGAAACAGCATTATTTAGCTCTGTGTCTGATGCAATAAACGGATCATCACTGATGATGATCTTGAGGGACATTATATTAGAAGGATCAACATCCATCGGTTGACTACTGGAAGATACACTGCTTATACTTTTGGCCTCAGTACCTGACTCCTCTGCTGAGGATGCAGTTTCAGGGAGAGGAGAGTGACATATTTCAGAGGTAGTAAGATTGTTTTCAGTGGATACTACAGAAATGTCTGTACATGCATTATTACCAGACGAGAAATATAAATTATCAGTGTCTACTTTTGTAGAAGATGAAGGTTCTTGCATCTCTCCTTGTGTACCTTCTGTGTTTGGCAGTTCTGAAGGGAGGTTAAAGTCGTTCTTACAAGGCTTATCAAGTGTATGCTGATCATTTGAGTAAGTTTTGTTAGAAGTATCAACAACTTCAAGCTGCAACTCTGTTTTGTCAAGATCTGTGATGTCCACTGCAGATCCCGCAGCACAGTCTGCCTGTGTGCTCTGGTCCTGATGGTTGGAGGGGTGGCTGGAGCTCTCCTGTGAAACGCCAGGCAAGGCAGCTGGATCACTGGTTACAGTCTGCTCTTTTCCTGCCTCTGCCAATGGGCTAGAAATGGATGAGTTGCTTTTTCTCAGCAGTGCACTGTGGCCAGGGCTCCCATCAGAAGGGCTTCCAGGATGTCTTTTTTCAGACAGTGATGTATCTGGCAACAACGGACATTTACTTCCTGAATCAGTTTTGTTTTCACCAGCTATAGTATCCTCTGCCACTGAAATCAAAGGAATCTGTGCAGTACCAGAATGAACATATTCTAAATTAGGACTACTTTGAGAACTATCATTTTGTGGGCCTTTTTCAATTTCCATAGCACTCTCCCTTTCAGATACTAATGTAGACGACTCTTTTGTGATGTAAGTATCTGCACACTGTTCGTTACACTTGTTATCAGAACTTGGTCTCTTGTTAGGTTCGGTCAAATCAGACACTGAATCAAAAGCAATTTCAAGCTCTCTAATATGTTCAGGGGTAATGGCTGTAAGTACTTCAGTCTGCTTCTTTGGTCTACAGTTTCCATGCAGCTCTTCACTGGCTGGATTCTTCTGAGCCGTATCATCATCATTAATGCTGGTCTTCAAGGCACATGATTCTTCTCCTAACTGAAAGCCTTTACAGGATAGTGGTTCTGTAGAATTATCACCTGTAAAAGACAGAATTAACCAGTTCCATAATTATGAGAACAGATGATCCTTTTAAGAGCATTTAAGAAATACCTATCAGTTCAATGGAAAACTATTTCCCATGAAACTAAGTGGCAATAATATTACTCATCCTTACATTCAAGTTGAGGGGAATACATACAAAAAATGCACGTACACTAGATAATCTGGAAAATCAGTTTGTACATTACTAAGTACACACATAACGTGTAAATATCTCTGGTCACTACATCAGATTTCCAGAAGCACAAAATCTATCTCGTGATAAAAACCTCTTGGCACTACTTCTCATATACTTTCACTAAATACCTGCTACTCATGGACTATTTTTAAGAATGGTGGAGACAGACTAACATTCCCTTTGTCCAGAGTAAGACTCTTTTTGTGTATTAATTAACAGATACATTATAGAATAGAGATAAAAGATTAATATGGTTAGATGTAAAATATTCTCTTTATGTGCTCCCCAATGGATACTGCAAGGTATCCATTTATTGATAGTCTGCTTGCATTAAGGAGCTTATCAAGTACAATTTTAAAATACACTGATGGGACTACTGTTAAATTTAATAGATTGAAACTTTGTAACAGGCCAGGTGTATCTGTATGTTCACACAATGTAAATGTCCACAGGGATATTACCAGTGAAAAAATAAAATTCTACAATGTACAAATTGTCTGAAAATATTTTCATAATGAAAAGTTAACAGAGAAATTTTAGAGGAAAAAAAACCCACGTACATCTGTTAGTTTCTTCTGTTCCTAAAGAACTTCCAAATGTTTCCAGGCTATCCTCAGCCACCAGGACTTCATTCTCTACTCCACTCCGACCAGAAATACCAGCAGGTAGGTTCTTGTTTACCTTGCTCTTTCCTGTTTTCAAAATAAAGCATGAAGAATGGTTAAATATGTAATTTTCTACACATGTCATCACTACCTTTTAAATGGACCACAATGTAAAGATCTCCTTATAGTTCATGTGAGGATACCCCTGAAAATTTTACAACAGCAAACAAGTATAAACTATCATCCTTCAGAGCTGGAATGTCTAAAATAACAGCAATAAAACAATCACAGAGCCAGCACAAACCCAGAACATCAGCCACAGAAAAATGCTGTATTTTATAGCTGTATATAAATGTATCTAAGAATCTAATTCTGTATTAAGGCATACCAATGTCATTTCCCTTGCAAGAGGCCTGCTGAATTCTTTTGCTTTGTCAAGCAATGCTTGGGAAAGCTCATCATTCAGGATGCTTTACAGTAACAGTATAACTGAGTACAATGTAGCCTACCATAATCAAACCAGTCAAACAGAGCCTGGAAAGCTGGATCTGACTCTGTCTGCTCCAGAATGTCCTGGATAGCCTCTTCTGACATATGAATTTCACCCTGAGAAAAGACATGATATACAGAACTGTTAGTTACTTCCATAACCTAAAAAGAAAAACAGACAAGAAGGGTTTTCTTTTCTGACTTTTTAGTTCTATTATTTCTGCTCAGCACAGAAACAAAAAGACTAATGCTGGGAACATTTCTGCCACAAATTTAAAAAATCTTAGTGATTGAAGTTGAAGAAATAAGGTTCTTCAAAACCCAAATGTGTCTGTCAGACATCACCCCCACTACGTGTGTACTGGAGTATTCTCCACATAATGGCCAGCACTAACCAAAAAGGAAGACTTAATCTCAGGCTACACTGGAAGCTTATGCACCAGCTTACGCTTATGTGGTATGGATGCTGTGAGCCTGTACAAGGAAACTACTGGTAAAAAAAAATCCCCAAATTAATCCTAATTTCTTTGGTTTGAATATTCTATATATCTAGAAGCCAACACTAGGTAAATGAAAGTTTTATTTCATATACTCATTACATGTTCTATAATACAGCCTCCAACTGCTTCATTGTGGAAGGCATTTTGGAAATCATGGCTACATGGGACAGTGTGGGAAGGCTCCTGATTCTTGTTCTGTGGCAGCCCAGGAATAAAATGAGTATCCGGTACATACTCAAGCGATTAAATACAAAGTTTCTCCTGCCTTTCTGGAGACCCTCTAAGCACTCACCAACCTTTGATATATATATCCACCTTTTTTGCTATCTACCTCCACCTTTAAGTGTGGATATTCCATCTTATATTCTTGATTTTGTCTCAGCAACTCCAACCAAACCAAGAAGCTGCTTTATTTCTGCTCAGAAGAATGGAATACAGCTTTTTAGCTCTGTATTTTGACAACAACCGACCTAAAATCACCAAGCAACAGAAGAATAGCATTTATAAACCAGACACCTCTACTTCATAAACAGGAAACTGCCTCTACTCTCCTGTCTTTCTCATGAGGGCTGTGAAATTTCCCTCATTATAAGTCCTTTTTAATTCTGTGATTGCCAGCTGGAGACTTTCAGAAAAATTAAGGGAGAACACTGTAATTATGTTGAGTTTGTAGAAGCAGAACACACATTTCCTCCAAAAGCAAGAAAATAATAAATTGGAAGAAAAAGCATCATTATTTAGGCTCCAAAAATAATTGCTCTTGCTGCACTAAATGATCCATGCTTATCTTGGAGCAAATCACAAAATCAGATCAGATTAAATGTCTTTGGAGACAGCAAGGCATTTTAAATACTTTTTTTCTTCTCTAAGGCTATTGATTATATCCCCAGTCAGAAGCTGGTAGCCAATTACTGATATGAAAGATTAAGGGAGAAGCAGGCAGCTGGTGCCTGGGACAGAGTTCTTAAGCCCAGTCTGAGTGTAGGGCTACCAGCTAATTACTGCCAGAAGTAATTCCACTTCCTTGGCTTCAACCCGGCTGCATGCTAATGCTGCCTTGGAAAGGCACTGGGAATGAATTCAGAATGCTAAACTGGCACAAAGTGAGCTCCTGCAGAATGCCACTGCTCTGCCAGCTCAGCTGCTCGAACCTGCCCTGCACCACACAAGGTCAGAGGTCAAACCTCTGCAAGGGAAGCTGTGGAGCTGCCCCTGCACAGAGGGGAGCATCAGGGAGAATCAGCTGTGCTGGCAAACAGAAACAAAAAAGAAAGGATAGGAAGAGGAGAGAATATTCTCAGATGTCAGAAGTTCAGCATTAGTTCCATCATTCTCACATGCCTGGTCCTAAAAACAATGTGAACAGGGCAATCTACACCTACCTGAAGTCCAAGGATTTCATCAATTGAAGTCTCCTGTTCTGTGGGACCACTGTCTGTCTGTTTAGGGGCCTGAGCAACACTGCCATCACTGCAACACATACATCATTAGTTCAAAACTCAAAAATAAATAAAATAAGAATACATATTAAGTTTAAAGGTTCCTTTTATTACCTCCCCAGGATTTTGTTAATGTTTTCAGCGAGCTTCTCCTGAAGAGATTTGTTGCTCAAGATTTTTTCTCTGGCATTTTCAATAACCAGTTGCTGGAAAACAGTTTTGAAGTGGTCAGGTTTCTATTTTTAACATCACTAGAAAAGGAGCATGAATTTCTGACTAACCAGTAAAAAATAATTAAAAAATCAATTCAAAGAGAGAAGACTTTTATAACAGAGAGTCATCTGTGACTGCACTACATTGCTATGAAAATCAACCCAAAACATTCCTGTACTTCTACTCTCCTAAAGTACAGCAGGGCTTATTGTGCCTTCTGGTTTCTTCTCTGAAGAATTACTATGTTCTGACAACCTAAAGGTATCTTAGCAAAGTAAATAAACCGAGAAAAACAAAACTCTACGTAGCCATGTCAACTTTATGAATTTAATACACAAGAGCTAGTTCAAATACAAACCAATACATTTATCTTGTAAAGGTAATTTCTGTAAAAACCAGGAGGAAGAACATGTTAAAGACTAGTTCTCTTGAGTTTGACTTTGTTTCTTAAGTGTGAATACCTTCTGTAGGCATATACTCACTGGGAAGTTACCATCAATTAATTCTTCTAGGGGCTCACTTTCTTTTTCCACTACTGCTTCTTCAGAGTCTTGAGAACTTCTAGCTGCTGAAAGAGTTCCAGATGTTGCAACACTTTTCCTCTTCTGAGAGTCACTGGAACATTCCAAGAAATTTATGACAGAGTTTATGAGAAAATTGCAAACAGTAGACATAATGGTGAGTAAATCAAGTGCTTCTCTTTCTTTTTAGCAAACAAAAGACCTTAATCACCAGAAAATTAAGTACATATTGAAGATGTAGTAAAAGCTGGTACCTGTTTTGTTATCTCTTATGCATCTATTGTGTCTGCTTTTACAGAAGTTATAAATTTAGAGATTGTAGGTAAACAGCTCAATGGCAAACTGAATTCCATGCTCACTATTCAGCATTTACTGCCCCTCCACTACATGTTACTTAACTGGTGGTATCAGTTAATGGATCCTAATTAACTGCAACTCACAATCAGATTTGGGCATTACCACTGAAAACAAAGACTTCTCAAGGAGCACTTATTCTCAAATAAGAAAACAGGAAAAATAGTGTTTTATAGGAGACAGCGTAGGCTTTTCTGAAAACATCAACCAGCAGGGGCACTAAAATTACATTTAAAAAAATCAAGACAGATTAGGAAAGATTTGGGGAAAAATGGACATTTGAATCAGAGAATAAAATATGCAAAACTAGTGTAAGAGAAGTTTTTCACACAACTTCTAGTGCAAATATTAACATTTTTCTGACAAAATTTATTCAAATCAGTAGTTTTACAAAGTTACATGCACATTTTTATCAATTAAGAATTTTCATAATTGAAAAGCACATTTTGGAAGAAATACCAAGTCTCAGCTCTAAGATTATTTGCCTAAGTCTAACAGTTGAGTAAAGACCGAGTGTACACACAGAAACATGAGTCCTATCAGTCTACTGTTAAGCTCTTTGACGTCCCTTTCCTTTGTGAAACATAAAACACTGGCCCCCTCAACAGATCTTGCATTTGAAACACTCCACCACTGAAGTAAATTTGCACTAAGGGTTAGAATACTGTCTAATTTCTAAACAATTTAACAACAAAAACCACCACAAATCAAACCCACATTCCCGTTCACCTTTTTCGCCTTCCTGGAGAAAGCAAGTTTGAATGAAGTTTTCGTTCTTGTGATGTTGGAACTTGAATGTGTATGAGACCTCCTGCTTTATAGAGGGAAGCAAACAAACAAACAAACAAACAAAAAAAAAAAAAAAAGAAGTCATGATTCCAATACCTTTTCAAGTGACATTGTTAAAGCACTATGAAATCTACACATTGCTTACCATGTTCCAATCAATTCCTGGAAAGTCATACAAAAGAATTTGGTAGTACCATGGAAATGAGGACAGTCCTTTTAAACATATCCTGAAATAGACATCCCCTTAATGTCGATCATCCCTATCTGATGAAACAAGTTGTTTGAGTGAGGGTGAGAACCCAGAACAGAATAACCACAAATTAATCCACTTCTGATCTCTGAACTCACATTGGCAAGCAAGTATGCAAGAGCCATCTCTCTTCTGGGCACTTATTTTCTTTTAATCACCTGAACCAATCTGGAGAGCTGGGGAACAAAGCATGAATTTTCTGGAACTTTTTGGTGGAAGATGATTAGCCCTGATTTTAAAAAACTTCCATTGATAGCCACAGATTTTTCACAGAAAAATAACGTTTAAAAATTTTTGCAACTTACTGTTGATCTTGTTTTCTTGAGCTTGTGACTGGTTCACAAACAGTGTACTCAGTCTTGTCTGTGGGATGCTTTGATTTATTGTTTTGTGAATTACTTGAGGAGGTACAACAGAAGAAGAGGAATTCTGTTGCCCTGACTGATGGGCTACTGACAACAGTCCTGAGTTTGCAGGAGCTGACTGCTGAAGCATTCTCTGCCTCTTCATTTCTACAATTCCACTTCTTGTACGTACTGGAAATAAAGGCAAGATGAAAACACATTATAAGGGAATTTAAAAAAAATTGCTGATATTCACACAAAATCTATTTGAAATATTTAAACAATGGAACACCACCCAATCTAGTGAATCTCAAATCTGGGAACAATCACTATCTGTATCTCACACTCTCTTTTCTTATACAGTAAAAATACTACAAAGAAAAACTTATTTTTAAGTAAACCAAGTATTGGTAGCTCATTTTCAGCTTTTTTAATGAAAGAAACACCTTTAGATAAAACAAGTATGTTTTTGTATTTTGGTTGGATATATATTTGTATATATAACAAATGCTACAAGACTGTAATATGTTTTTATGTTCCCGTTACAGAAATCCACCTGCATTATAATTACACTGGCTACGTTTTAGTTCATCTATGAACCACAAATTAAGTCAGCAGATTCAGGAGTGAAGCAGCAGTTTTTAAACCTTTTAACCATGTAAACTTCCAAAAAAGTTTTTTTCAGCAGAGAAAATGCTATGATAGACAATTTATGCCCCTTGCAAAAAGCTCAGCTTTTTTTGTTTTCCTTTCCTGATCATTACAGTAATCCACTGACCACACTGAAGAGAACAGACATGCATTAATGATGGCTGCATAAGGCCCCTATTTTTTGCCAAAACTGGTAATTTTAATATAAAACCTACTGATCCCATGGAATTGACTCAGTTACTTACTCCTCTGGTTAGAAGAAAATCTGAAATCTGAATTCTGCATGCTCCTGAAAAATAAAGCAAGTGACAGAAATGAATGGAGCATAATGTAAGCACTCAGCTACATTGCTCTTTTCGTTCTTTCCAACAATTGTCACAGATCCTTCAAGTGAAGCTTACTGTTTCATTTTTGACCAAGTAACCACAAAGGTATCAGATTCTAAATGAGTCACAGTGTATTGCTTTATTACAGGAAGACTACATGCTCACACTAATGCCCTCCTTATTTACTAGCTCCTCCTTAAAATCTTTACATGTCTGCTCAACTATCAACTCTAACAGATCCATCTTTTTCACTGTCTTGCAAAGGAAACAGAGAGCTAAACCATTCTCATACAATGATAAGGGAAGTTGGTCAACATAGGGACTCAGAATGAAATATTACTTTCTTGATTTCAAAACTACATTACCTGATCTGAGAAAGTGTATAGTCTAATTTTTTCCACAGAGATGACATCATTGCTGGAACTTCATTTGTTGTTTCTAAAATGAACCATAAAAAGAAATTGATGCCCAAAACAGATATATGCTGAGAGAAAAGTAAAATCACAAGCAAAATCATTATTATGGAGTGTTTCAGACTTCATCTAACTTTAGGTGCCTAGTTGCCTTTTAACAGTCTATTAATTAGGGAGCACTAACTCCTAATTTAAAGAATTTTAATTTATATGGATACAGTCCTGGTTTAGAAGCCTTGATGAAACTGAACTAACAACTGTAATTCTTGGTGGAATTTGCACATGGTGTTAACTCCTCAGCAAACACATGCTAACCTAACCCATGCTAACCCGCCCCCCAGCTCACTTCTGGAAATGGTATTCATACTCCCAAGTGACTTTTGTGCCTTTGAAAATCATAAACCTGGCAGACAGGCCTTTAATAGTAATAGTTTATTTTATGATATTACCCGAACACATAAAAACATTTGGTCTTTTTGAAGCACAGAACATTAAAAGTGTGATGGAAAAGATAAGTAAACAGTTCAATTTACTAAGTTTTTCAAGATGCCAAGTACAAAGCATTTTGAAGGAAGTACGTCTGTGTCTTAGTTACCATTTCTGTCAAACCTAGTGTGAAAGGAAAAAAATGTTCAGAAATGTTCCATGTATGATTTTTAATACCAAGCACCATTAAAATATAATCATACAATAGATATCAAAAACCTACTGTAAGATTTGGCAACATTCAGAAGAGTGATAACTAATTTCAAAAATAGCAAATGCTCTAGCTATGTCTACAGTATTCATACAAAATATTAAGTAGTTCTGAAACTTTTTTAGTTAGTCTTAAAAGCAAGACAAGAAATATTTCATACCATAGGACTCCTGATTAATTCATGGAATCATAGAATACCTTAGGTTGGAAGGGATCCGTGAGGATCATTGAGCCCAACTCCCTGCCCCTCACTGGGCTACCTAACTCCAAACCATGTGACTAAAAGCATTGTCCAGATTCTCCTTGAACTTTGACAGGGCTCAGTGCCATGACCCTGAGTAGCCTGCTCCAGTGACTGACCACTCTCTCAGTGAAGAACGCTTTCCTAAGATCCAATTTGAACTTCCCCTGACACAGCATTTCATTTTTCTCACATTCTGTTGCATCCTCCCCAGCACCGACAGTATAAACAATAAACAGGATAATTTCACAAGCAGAAACCCATAAATTTTGCACATTTTATTACATCTCCATGCTTTTGAGATATAAAAATGCTCACATTTGCTGGCATATGCAAATTAACATAACCAATTACTTTTGCTCACTAGATGTCATGGCTGTTGGCTGCGTAGCATGGTAACCTTCAAATTGTAGCCTAAATGGGGGATTACTCTAAGACCATCCACCTCTTCCTCAAGGAGTTCACCACAGATAAATAAAAATAAAACAACACCTCATTCTGAAGGCTTACCTTTTGTTTTCATGGCTACGTATTCGTTAAGAATAGTTGTCAAGTTTTTTCCACACAGCGACTGGAAAAAAAACCAACTGATCTTAGAATCTTCACTAATAACTTCTGCTTCATCTGCTGTATCACATCATAGTTAAGGAGCTCTTTAGCAGTCTACACCATGCTGACCCTCAGTACAAGGGACTGTACTTGGCAGAGAGCAATCAATAGGACAAAATCCTCTCATGTACCCAAAATGTGAAGTGCTCTATCTCAAGGCACAACACTGGTAGTTAGAGCTCTCTGACCTTCACTCACCTTTTTTATTATGGAATAAAACCACGAAAATTAGATGATGAACAGCATGATATTCATTAGCCTGTTACTGATGAGCAGTAACAGACTAATGAGTATGCATCATGTTGGAAAACAACATGCACTAAGATGCAAATGTGAAGGAACCTCTGTCTGAAGCAAAATTTTTAACAGTCACATAGAATTAACCTTCTTATCATGTTTACTTGTCCTGTTATTTTAGGTGACACAAAGATAATTAAAATTTCAAAGTTACCACTATCCTGTACCTTCCTCTCTCGTTTACTAGTGGGAACTCTACAAGACATGACAAACATGGCCCTTTATTACAAGTATTTGAGCTGAAGTAGGAATTTTGTCTTAGACATTATGATATCACTTTTATGTGAATAATAGGAAAAACATTTCTACTGAGAAAAGGATGATTTTTATAAAAAAGATTTATTAATCTGGATAACCTATCTACATTTAGGTTTTCTAATTTTTGCTGGCCATAGCTTGGTTCTCAACTCCCTACCACCGAAGTACAGATGACTGAACACTTGTAAATAAAATAAATTCAATAGTTTGTTTTGGAAAGGTGGATCAAGGTGCACCTTGGACCTCAGAAAAAACTTCCACTAGTTTTGAAAACTGCAACTAGTTTTGAATACTGTGGGCAAAATCCCAGACAGCGAAATTAACTAATATACTGGAAGAATGAAACAGAAAACATGAAGAGGACACACATGTAAACACTAACAGTTTGATACACAGCAATACCTAAACCCTGTAATTTGCACAGTATAGTAAAAATTCCATTCTGTATATTTGTTAAAAATGTAAACTATCTAATTATGCTCTAGAGCTCTACACATGCACCTACAGATGTGTCTGCACACTATTTATGTAACCCAAAATTCCCCCTTTCACCCAGAACAATGCAGATGATACTGAACAAAGAGGAGGCTGAGCACAGTTTCTGTCAATAATTTGGTAGACTTGGATAAATCTGAGGTGCCTTACCTAAATGTTTACCAATATACCTGAAATGGAACATTATTGGCTGCCATGTCTAGAATAGGAAAGTGATCTTCAGTAAATTAAAAAAAACAGCCCTAAAATTAATAAAACCCGTGTGACAACACCCTTCCATAAATCAACCTCAGAGCTGTAATGCAGACTAAGCATAATATGCTGAAACCAATTTGCAAATTCAATTTGCATACTTCACACTTACATTGTTTAAGTGTTTCACACTTAAAAATGTTTCTTAGTAAGCTTAAATACTAGAAACCAAATAACTGCTAATATCACAGGATGAAAAAACACCAAACAAATCAAATAGCACACATTTTAAGCAACATTTGAGAATTAATCGTTAAACTGAGAAATCCCCAATATTGTTTTCCATGGATGCAAGACAATGTAACTTCCTGCTTTCAAATACAAACTCACCAGCAAGCAGGCTGGAATAAAACCATCTTCTGTGCAGTGCTCCGCATATTCTTTCAAATCTGAGCTTTCCAGAATGAATTGATGGCAGGTAGCTTGAAGATTTTCCTGTTGCAAATAGCCTGCAACAAATCAGATGGAAAATTTTGCTATTTCATTAATTACTTCTGCTCAATAGGTATCAAAAATATAGATTGGAATTCCACTGTATTTACAAAGTATTCAAGACTGGAAGCGAGGCAATATGAACAAATTTTGGTTTCTCTTTAATACACGCAAGAAAATAAAAAGTTCTCAGTTCAGAAGGCTGACAAACAAACTCTCATATGGGCTGAACCACCCTATTTGATACTTCAATGGAAATCCACAATATTTTGTTAATAAAATGCATTGCTATGTAAGAGTAATTCTCCACACATTGTACTGTTTCAAAATAGGTAAAACCTGTACAGCTGCTGCAACAGTGGATAAAATTTCTTAAAAATATTGGCATTGTACAAAAATTAATAACAGAAAAGTAATCTGTACAGTAACTTTCATTTAGGATAGATGTACTAGATGCATATTGTGCTCTCTACACTCTAAGACTCAGTAGTTGTTGTCACAGAAAATGTACTGATAAAGTTTTCTTTTGCAAAATTGCATTCCTCATCAAATACATTCTTCTTTAATCAAACTTTTTACCCTGCTTTAATCTTCAAACACCTTAAACACTAAAAGATAGAAATGGATGAAGGATTCCAGAACAAAGAACCACAAAGAGAACATTTCTTCTTCCTCGTTCATAGCAGAGCTCAGCATAGAATGTTTTAAGGATAAGACAAAACATGTGCCTAGTTATGCAGGATATATATACATTATCTGTTTCAATGGACTCCCAAAATGGTCCACCTTAGTTCAGGAATGCCTACAGAAAAATGTGCCCTTTAAGTTTAAATGAAAACAAATTTATCTTTCAGCAGATCTGAGTACAGATGAAGAAAACAAATCGTATTTCCAACACACAAGCCTTGTTCAAGTCTTCAACAAGTAGGCAAACTTGAAAGTTAAACACAGCCTGGGAATAACCACTGTGAATTTAATCACAATGTATGAGTAGGCCTATCTGACAGAAAACATTAGTGGTACCTGTAGAAAGGAAAGGAATATCCCATTTAATTTTTCAACTACATTTTTTCTAGAAAAAACTCAAGCCACAAGTGGCTGAATGTGTATTTCTGGTAAACATGATCATATCTCACTGTTGTCCAGGCTGGAAGTTGGGGTATTAGGCTCGGTGGAGCTCTGATCTGTGCTGGTATGACTGCTTTTACAGCCAAACTTACCTGAACACTCACACAAAAAGTTGCAATTTTTCTTTCTTGAACCTACTACTACAGTACCACAAGGGATGACTGAATGCTTGCGTACGGGCACGTTTTACGTACACCAATTTCCTGGTAATAAAGCATTCCAAAGGCTAAAAATGCCTGTGCAGCTGGCCCAAAGTGCTCGTGCACACACTGTATAATGACATAGGACTATGTGGTCCCTAAGGTTGCCAAAATCAAATTAAAGGCACAAATGGTGACATATGTTTTGAACGTGCGGAAATTATTCAGTATTTTGTCCTACCTTAAGAAATGTCTTGCTCATAGTACACATTCACTCTTCAAATTAGGAAAAGATAAATGTTCTTATGCATTTTCCTGTTTGTGAGCTCAGCTTATCATTTCTGTTTTGTTTCTTTAACAAATATTCACCAACTTTCATACCACCAGAAAGATTTTGGTGGGGGGGTTGGGGGAGAAAGATGGAAGAGCTGCACTGGAAAGTCTGTTTACCCACTGAAATTCAGAGATGCCTCACAGAAGAGGAATCTCTATTAGAGAACAGAAATGCTTACAAGGAATATCCTGTTCCACAACCTTAGGTTGCTCAGAGGTTCTCCAGGCATGATGCCTGCTCCACACCACAACAGACACAAGATAGGGTGGATCATTCTCAGCACACAGGATGTTGCCAAGGTTGTGTACTCCGTCTGCAAGTCTCAGGTAAGAACACAGATAAGCATTCTACCTGGAAACTTGTAACTTCCCCAGCCTTGTTTGGAAGAGTGCAATGAGAGATCTCACTTGTATGAATTCAAATCTTCTTTTACAGTCCACGGAGCTTCTAAAAATCCTGTTACTTCACAGTAATTAAAAAACTGCATCTCTTACTAGCCTTTTTTTCTCAAGACAATAGCAAGTAGCATGTCAGGTAGTATTTAAAAGTAAATTGTGCTGGGGGAACACTGAAGAAGAGATTCAATGGCATTGAATTTTAAAAAACTGTGAACAACTGAAAACTGAATCTCACAGGGCAAGCTGCCAGGAAATCTTGGCAACCTGTGCCAATAGGCACTTACTATGTGTGGGACTGAAATATGTGGGTCATATTTTTGCTTACCATCGATTTGCTCTCACCTTTGGCAGCACCTAAATAATCCAAAGCATTAAGTAATTTTAAAAATTCACTGTCTGCTGCCAGCGTACTGAACACACTTATGCTGTGCTTTCCACAGATTCTGATCACGCCTGAACTTTTAGTGCACCCTCAAAAGTGAGCAAAACACGGCCGGAAAGAAAAATCCCAGCCTTCCCTGGGATTTCAGGTCACCCTTGGACTCCTCCTGTGATCAGGAACTGTTTAAGGACCGCTCAGCAGCTCTGAGCAGCTCAGCAGCGTGGAGACCACCACGTTTCCGTGGACTTCTGAAGAAGCCGAGCCCAAGGCACGGCCGGGGAGCGGCCTGGTCCCTCAGCACCCGAATCCCTCAGGAGCGAGCTGCGTTCGCTCCCCGGCAGAGGCCGGGCCGGAGAGCGGCGGGGGCCAGCCCAGGGACTGTCCAGGATAAACCCCGGCAGTGACAATCCCAGCCTGGGGGACCAAGAGGCGCTGCCGAGGGTCAAGGGCGAAGCCGGCTGCGTCCCGCCGCGCCTCGGGCGGCTGACAATGCCCGGCAGAGCCCTCCCGGCGCGGCCGGTGGTCCGCGCCTCACCCGTGCATCCCTCCGTCCCTCCCGGCTCACTCACCCAGCACCAGCCGGGCCACGTCGGACGGCAGCAGCATGGCCCGAGGCGGAGCGGGGCACGGGCGGGCGCAGCTCCCCGAGCGCAGCCGGCCGCCCCGCCACCCAGGCGAAGGCGCGGAAACTCCGCCAGCCAGCGCCGCGCCCGGCCCCTTCCGCCGGAACCCGCCGCGGCCGCTCATCCGCTTCCAGGTCCGCCCGCAGCAGCTGCTTCCACACGTGAGCCCCGCTCCGCTCCGCTCCGCGCCGCCGGGAGCGGGGCTGCGTGCGCCGCGGCCGAGGTGAGGGGCCGGGCCCGGGCGGGGCGGCCGCGGCCCCGGCTGCGGGTGCTGAGGGGCGGCTCGCGGGCTGCGGGCGCCGGCGCGGGGGGCGGCGGCCCCGGGGTTGCCGGGGACCTGAGCTGCTGCTGGGCGCTGCGTGTCTGCCTGTGCTGGGGCACCTCGGAGCGCCTCAGCCAGCTCTTCTCTCCGCCTTCCATGGTATTTGGTGCGCCCGCATTCCCATGTGTCGTGTAGCGCGTGAAGGTGGCTGTCATGTGGTAGTTGGAAAGCTGTGTAGCCAAGAAGATAAGTGGATTCATTCTTGGGAATTTTTCACTGCTTTTGTTATGGCTGTTGGAACAGCAATAGGTACAAACGAGAGGGCTGCCTTCTTGAATGCCCAGGCCCTACAGCAGACGACCCCTGTTGCCACAGTTTTCGACCAAGCGCATCGCAAGCCACTGGTGTTCAAAAAGTTTCTTTCTCTTTCGTTTCCGACAAAAGCATCAAGTGTGCTGAGTTGGGTTATTTTTTGTTCCGGTGCCCAACCACCAGAGGGACAGAGAGTGGTTGAACATTGACACAGGCTCCCCAGGGAAGAGCTCACAGCGCCAACTGGGAGTGTAAGAGCTGTTTGGACAACACTTTCAGGCATATGGTGTCATTCTTGTGTCCTGCACAGGGCCAGGAATTGGGCTTCGGGGGTCTTTGTGTGTCCCTTCCAACTCAGGTATTCTATGATTCTTGAAGTTAGTAAAGGAGCACTTAATTTAAATAAGTGCAGTTGTACAGTACAGGCAGCCTTCACACTTAAAATATGTTAATTTTCATACGCATCTATCAGTCACCAGATCTCTGATTGTACTTAGTCCCAGCCTGATCTTGATTGAAGCCAAAGGAAATAAATGCAGTCTAAGACAGTAGATATTTAAAGTTTTACTTAATTAAATGGCTATTTTTATATTCTCATGTAAGGACTCAAGATGCAGTGCTGTGCATCATGAATGCCTGTTCTCCCTTGCTTGTTACAGCAGCAGCATGTGTTTGGAGTTACTTCCAGCTTTTGTGATCTGTCTTTTCCAAACAGGGTTTCTCTCAGGTCTTCTTTAAGGGTATTAAAGAAACATGTCAGTTAAATAGAATGTCATGGTTGTGATCTGCAGCACCATAACTTTATTTAATGCAAGGTCTAGGCAATTTCAACCTCTGTCAAAGAAGAGGAGGTGTAATTTTAAGCGCTCACAGAAGGAAAAAGTAGGTTTTTTGTATGACTGATACTTAATCATCCTTTGACATGTCGAGTCCCTGGGGGTTTTTCAATAGTGCATACCTATGAAAATGTACAATGTGAGAGAGCATTTTCCAAGTGCTGCTCACCTGGCAGTATCAGGTTAAGGGAGCTACTGAAAGTTGGTGCCGCTTGCCAGAATGTATTTAGCTCTGTCATTCTTGCTGTAATTGTCCTCCCAATAGCACTCATAGAGGGGGAAGAAGCCAGAGTTGTGTGAAGGGGCTCTCTGCAGTTATTCTGTGACTGTTCTCTGTGGGAACAGATCGCATTCTTGACATGAAACTGCTTCAGTTTTGCAACCAGTAAGACTGACCCAGCTGCAAATGGGCTTTTCCTTGAAACATTGAACATCGTGGTTCTGTTTAATACTGGACTTTCAGTATACTTTTTTACTTGGCTGTGTGGTCAATAATTACTGTTTTATCCATTTCTTCTGTGTGCAGATATAAATGACTCTTCTTTAAGCTGAACCATGAGTCTTGCATTACACGATCTGCTGGTTTGTTGTCGTCGCCTTGAAAATGAGAAAGCTGTGGAGCGAAGGGTAACAAGTTTTCTTTTGGGTGGTGTACTTCAAATAGCAATGAAGGGAATCATAAACAATTATTCTTCTTGTAATACATTTTCAGAAGGAAATTGAAAATTTCAAGCGACTTCTCCGTGATTCTGAAACAGTTCTCCAGCTGGACCGGAATTCTGATTCTAAACAAGGAAAGCAACTCAACTGGGATGCTGTATTTAGGTAGTTTCTGGGTTTTATTTGTGAATGGTGACCATTTTCTTGAATGGGACATCATTCTTTTGTTTGTTAGGCCTATTTTAATGCTTTCTGTATATTGATTTAGACTTCTTGTCAGCTTATAAACAAGTAATTACTTACCTTAGTGTCCAAAAGAAGTAAGTTTAAAATGGTCAGAAGTGCCACTTATCCCTTACAGAAAACTGCTAGGAAACTCATTAATTGGGTAGATTCTTTTCCTTGCAAAAATAATAATTACTTTCTTCTATGGAAAATTATTCTTCGCTTCTGATTTTTCAATCTATAGTTCTTATGTAGATTACAGGTAGCTTTGTTAAAGTTTCTTGTGTTGCTGAATTCCTCAAGACACAGTAGAAGGACTGTGGCATGTTTGTAGAGGATAATCTTTGATACAATCTGCTTCAGGTGTACTTTTAAGATTGGACTAAGCATGAGTATGATAAGTTCTTACAGCAGCTTCAGCCAGTGTTAAATTTCATGGTGAAAGTTCATGTAAATTATTATTTTTCATTGAATGGGTTCCTGCTTTCCATTATGGTTTTTAAATTTGACAGCATTGGAATAGTTTTTGTTTCACAGGTATGCCAAAAGTTTCATAAAAAGTACTTGATAAATTTTATATGTTGCTTTAGAGACAGTAATATATTAGGAATACATAGGAGGAATACAAAAATAAAGCCTCTAAGCTGAATTCAAATAGAAGGCCAGAAAATCTGTAGCAAATGCAGTGACAAATACAGTTAAAAGTTTAATTTATTCATAGATCTAAAATATAATCCATATATTAACTTTGAATTATAAGGAAATAGGACTTGAAGGCTTTCCCAATAAAAGCAATGATAAGTACTTATTATTTTGTTTTATAATGTTGCAGCATAAATAAAAATACAATGATTTTTTTTTCCCAATTGTAAGTTGTATGTTTAGCTGTAAACTGGGCAAAGTTTAAAGGAAAGGTTGGTTCCTACTCCAAGTTGTTTTGTCTTTAAAACTTGCATCTCCTTTTATAGACTGTTTTCCAGTCATGCTTGGACTGTAGTGTATTTCAGTTGGGTTTAGTCTTTGATAATTAGAATTGTGAGAAGAACAGGAGCTGGCATTTTAGCCTAAACCAACATTTTCCTATTTTACTTCAGTCATAAATGAGTTGATCCTTGGTTAATCTCTCTTTTATTTTTGAAGCGTCTTGCAGAAATATTTCCAGAAAGAACTTAAAAACCTGCAGCTGACAAAACCAAATGCATCTGCTTCAACCCAGACTGCAAGACAGAAGAAAATACAAGAAGTTGGAAGCTTGGTCAAATACTTCATCAGATGTGCTAATAAACGTCAGTAATACACATTATCATATAGAGATGCTGGTTTGGTTTGGAGCTTTGCTTTCAACTTTGAATTTTAACTTTGACGCTACCAATGTAGGGTTCATCATATTTGCTTCCAGATGTTTGCTTTTTAAATATCTTAATGTGAATCCATCATTTGTGCTCCTTATCTGTCCTTTTTGATGTTTACAGTGCCTTTTTCTAATTACTCAATGCGTCTATAACTGATATATCCTCTCACTGGTAATTTATATGTTAGAAATAGTTTAAGAAAATGTTTCCTCATAGGACTGTTTCAGAGCTGTAAGTTTACGGGTTTTGTTGTTTTGGTTTTTTTAATTAGGTAACATGTACAAACAATTAGTTACAGATTTATTTGGTAGAATTTGGGTTAATTAAATAATCTCATGTTGTTTCTTCATATAGGAGGACCCAGACTGAAATGTCAGGAACTTCTGATTTATGTCATGGAAATTATAAGAGATCCAATAAGTTGTGCTGCTTATGGTTCTGACTGTAGTAGTATACTCCTAAAGGATATCCTGTCAGTAAGGAAATATTGGTGTGAGATATCCCAGCAGCAATGGTCAGGTAACATTTTTGAGCCTGCTTAGAAATGTGTTTTCCTTTTGTAGAAGCATGTGTTTTAATTTGTTTGATGTCCTGTTGTCTGAGGTAGTGCACAAAATACGGAGTAAAGCAGTGTCAACCTCTAAGGGCTTACACTTGAAGTAAACAAAACAATAAAGATTAGGAATTTGGGGTTTTTTTTCTTTCTGTGTACTTTGTCTATTCTTGCTGAAACATCAGCACTCCTGTACTTATCAGGTCGTGTATGGGTGGTCTGAACAGGTCACTGGAAGAGACCTGTGGGCATGGAGAGCCAGTGGGTTGTTGTGTGGTGGTTAGTTTCTTTAGGAACATGGAAGTTAGCTGAGTTTGTGTGTGGGCAAAACCAGGAAGCATGGCAGAAGAAGTGTTGACATTAGATCGTAAGGAGCACAATGGAATTTAGTTACTAAGGTGAGGCAGGGCTGAAGGCCATAAATCTAGAGGAAGTCAGACATTAATCCAGTAAGTGGAACAAGCTGCTTTTATTAAAGGAGGGGTATATAATCTTTGTAAAGGTTACTGTAACCTTTTCTAGTGATTTCACCTTAATGCTTGCTTATAATTCTTGGGGTACATTAGAGAAGTCTGCTTTTTTATTTACAAAATCAGGGATCTGTTGCTGTTGAAAGTAAGAACATGGATTCCAGCTGTTCACCAGAGAGTGGTGGCCTCTGTATCTTTAATGCAATATTTTGTGTCAAGATTTTTTCATGTAATCCTCTGTAATATATATGTTTATACTTACCTGCATTTTTTTATACATTTGCAGAGTTGCTGACCCAGTATGGCCATTTGTACCTCAAACCTTCTGGGAGCATTAATAGAGTCTTAGTGGCTAGGATAATTCACACACTTACAAGAGGGTACTGCTTCCAAACTGATGGGTTGTGTTC